GGCCCCAAACATTCCTGTCCTGCCCTCCCTGGGGAGCACCCAGCACACAAAACCCTTTTTTTAGCCCACGACCCACAGAAAAATCCCATTTTTTGCCATTCCCACAGGAATGTTGGGTTGTTGGTTGATTTTATTTTTCCCCCCAAGCTGGATGTTCTGGGTTTATTTTCTTTTTCCCCCCACATTGGGGCCTGTTGATTTCTTTTTTTCCCCCCAAGTTGTGGGTTGTTAATTTATTTTCTTTTCCCCCAAAACTGGGTGTTGTTGGTTTATTTTCTTTTTTTTTCCCCCCAAGTTGTGGATTGTTAATTTATTTTCTTTTCTCCCCAAACTGGGTGTTGGTGATCTATTTTCTTTTTTTCCCCCAAGTTGTGAGTTGTTAATTTATTTTATTTTTCCTCCCAAGCTGAGGATTGTTGATTTTTTTTTTTTTCCTCCAAGTTGTGGGTTGTTAATTTATTTTCTTTTCCCCCCAAACTGGGTGTTGTTGATTTATTTTCTTTTTTTTTTCCCCCAGGTTGTGGGTTGTTAATTTATTTTCTTTTCCCCCCAAACTGGGTGTTGTTGATTTATTTTCTTTTTTTTTTTTCCCCCAAGTTGTGGGTTGTTAATTTATTTTCTTTTCCCCCCAAACTGAGGATTGTTGATTTATTTTATTTTTCCTCCCAAGCTGAGGATTGTTGATTTATTTTATTTTTCCTCCCAAGCTGAGGATTGTTGATTTATTTTCTTTCCCCCCAAGTTGGGGGTTGTTGGTTTTATTTTTCTTTTCTGCCCATATTGTGTAGAGTCTGTTTTTCACCCTGTGATAAATTCACTCTCATTTTGCTTAAACTTTCATGGGGACTTTCCATCTTGGAACCCTGAACCTTCATTCTAAAAACCCAAAAAAAATCAATTTTTCACCCCATGATAAATTTATTATCATCCTGCTTAAACTTTCATGGGGATCTTCCATCTTGAAACCCTGAACCTTCATTCTAAAAACCCCTAAAAAATCAGATTTTCACCCTGTGATAAATTCACTGTCATTCTGCTTAAACTTTCATGGGGATCTTCCATCTTGGAACGCTGAACCTTCATTCTAAAAACACCCAAAAAAATCAGTTTTTCACAATGATAGTGATATATAAATTCACTATCATTCTGCTTAAACTTTCATGGGGATTTTCCATCTTGGAAGGCTGAACCTTCATTCTAAAAACCCCAAAAAAATCAAATTTTCACCGTGATAAATTCACTATCATCCTGCTTAAACTTTCATGGGGATCTTCCATCTTGGAACGCTGAACCTTCATTCTAAAAACCCCAAAAAATTGGGGTTTTGGGTCTTCTGTGAACAGCAGAGGTTCTCAGGTTATTTTTAATTACAGGTAAAAGTGACAAACATGAGGGCCTTGAGAACCTTGCACANCAGATCCCTGGAATGTTCCAGGGCAGAGCTGAACAGATCCCTGGGGGGCTCCAGAGCTGAGCAGAGCCTGGAATGTTCCAGAAGCACCCAGGGGTGCTCCCAGCCCCCGAGGGGGTGACAGGGACAGGGAGGGGACGTCCCCAGGGCAGAGTCCCACAGACAGAGCGTGTGCCTTAGAGACACAGTAGTGAACACTGATGGATTGGAGAAAATCTGTTACAACAAATATTTCTGACCTCTAAGTGACACTCTTCTTCTTCTTCTTCTTCCATATTTTGTTTTATTTTATTTCTTTTTTGGCAGAGCCGTGTGTTGAGAGACTCCTGAGCTTTCTATCCCTAATGCCAAAGGCAGGTGTTCAATACTCCAATCGAGGTGTAAAGAAAATAAACAGTAATAATTAAAGATACGAGGGGGAGGAGGACAAAAAAAAAATAAAAAAGGATTTCATTTTTGTTTCTTTGTTTTGCAGCAAAACTTAATAAAATAAAAATATCTATTTTCCTGAGCATTAAAAATGAATGTACAAACAGTAGCTATATTGTTTTCCAGCTGAGTGAAGATTTATCCCCCACTCAGTGATCCTGTAAAGTGAATTTTGGTGGAAGTGTGGCTGTTTGTCTGGGTGCCCAAACCTCCTGTTTGTTACATATTGGAAGCAATATTTAAACAAACAAAAAAACCCAAAAATTCCAGTGTTCCTCTACTCCCTTTGTTCGTTAGCAAAGAGGTGGAAAATCCTTGAAAGCAATGGGGAACTGTGTGGTGGTTGTGGGAATATTGATTATTTCTAACCCTGTGGTTTATTCACAAAGTTATTTCACAATTCTTGACTTTAGAGCTAATATTTATCCAGATATTCACTTGAGTTTGGTACAGTTTCAATAGATTTTTTTTTATTGGTGAAAATGGGTAAGATTTAACCCCTAAATTATTTATTTGGCTCCTACTTAACGCCCAAATAACCCAAAGCTGAACTTCAGAATCAGCTTTGGTGCAAAAGTCAGAGGTGCAGATTCTCAGTATTTCCTAGAAATCCAAACTGATGGGAATCCCTTTGGAACAATCCAGAAATTTCCCCAAAATCTTTGCTGGAGAAAACAAAAGGGCTCAAAAATACAAATCTGAGCCAAATTTATCCTTTTTTTTGTCCTTTTCTGCCTTTTTACTGTTGGATTTCTTGTTGGTTTTTGGATTTCTTGTTGGTTTTTTGATTTCCTGCTGGTTTTTGGATTTCTTGTTGGTTTTTGGATTTTTTGCTGTTTTTTGGATTTCTTGTTGATTTTTGAATTTTGTGCTGTTTTTTGGTCCTTTATGGTCCCACTAATCTGTGCTGCTCCAAGAGGACTGGTCCACCCACAAATGAGTTATTAACATAAAATTAATTAAATTATTTCCATTATATTTTATTATGATTATAGTATAATATATAATTATAATGAAATATAATTATATATTATAAATATATAATA